AAAAAAAAAATTATAATACTTATTGAAAAATATTTTATTATAAATCCGTAAATTTAATTATAAGAGTTTGACTTTAATTTTTTTAAATTACAAAATATGAAAATTTTTATGTTTGACGATAATATGATTTAACTGTATAACATAATACATACAAGCCGTATTTTTATTTAACATGGTATACTAATAATTTGAAAAAAAAAATGTCATTTTTTTTGTCCTTTATAATAGCATACTTAGCTTATAAAATTAAACCATTATAAAAATATCTATTTTATTCAATAACTTTTGTTTGTAAATTTAGTTTAAAATGTTAAATTAGTTGAGTATAATCGTTTAAAAATAAACTTTATTTAAAAGATTAATTTAACGATTAGATACTGTTTATGCTCATATTATATTATAATGAACTTGAAAATGTTTTACATAATTTAATTTAATATTGTTACGTTAGAGTAGACTTAAAGGTTTTAAATGTTAAGCTTCTAAAAATTAAAAGTTTAGTACCTACTTATACATACAGTGGAATAGCCAAAATATTTGAATGAGGAGTTGGTTTAGGTATATACCTGGAATAGATAACTCAAAATTGTAGCGGGCCAGAATATAGAAAGCAAAATAAAAAAAGGTCATTTAAAATATGCATTTTAATTGGTATTATTTTGTTTATAACGTAAAAGTATTTGAACTTCATTACATTAATCATAGTCTTCTTGTTTTCATCGCTGGTTTTCTAAATAACTAAATAAAAATCAATGGGGGGGGGGGGGGGGTACAACGCTCAAACCTCCTTGGCTACAACACTTTATACATTATATTTTATCAATAATTACATTTTAAATTCTTAAAAATATTAAAAGTACAAAATATTAAACTGTTCAATGTTCATACAATTTAAATATTAAATACAAATTAAATAATTAAGTATATTAAAATATATCTCAATACATTTTTGAGAGCATCAAATGTCTTAATTATTAAATTAACTTAATGTAAAATTTAATAGGTATAATAATTTAATATTAGGCACCCTTTTTATTGCAATGATTACAAATGTTGGGAATTTAAAAAAAAATGTTAATAAATAATTTATACTTTTAATAGAATAATTTTGATTTTTACTATTACTTATAGATAATTATAAATTATTATTATACATTTTATGTCAAATTTAACATTGCAGAATTTTTATTTATAAATAACTGGAATAAAATAAATAAAAATTAAACAATCACTGACAAATTATATGTTGATTATTATATTAATTACTTATTAAATATGAATATTGTGAGTTACAAGTATGAAAATGCTAAAGTATATTGATTTATAAGACTTTAATTAATAATTAATACAAGATTGTAAAAATTAAATTTTGTGATATTAATTTTGTTTATTTTTATTTTTATAACTATATGATAAAATTGTTATTGTTTTAGAATTAAAATGTGTACTCAAGTTAATATGAAAGATTTCATTACTGTCCATCATGAAATGGCTCATGTACAATATTTCTTGAACTACAAAAAACAACCAAAGGTGTATCGTGATGGTGCTAATCCAGGTATATTTATTAAATAGATTTTAATCAAAATAATATTTATTATTTTTGGATTTTAAAGGTTTCCACGAAGCTCTGAGTGAAGCAATATCACTTTCTGTGTCAACTCCAAAGCATTTGCAAACGCTAGGGCTTATATTGAACTCTGTAGATGACATTCCTCATAACATAAACTATTTATTTGGATTGGCGATGGATAAGCTTACGTTTTTGCCTTTCAGCTTGGCACTCGACCTATGGCGGTGGGATATATTCAAAGGAACCACGCACAAAGAGAGATACAATTGTCATTGGTGGGATTTACGGTAAATTACATATTTTATGATATTTAATAGTAAGTAGTTGTCAGTAGGTACATTACATCTGATTAAATGATAATATTATTGTTGATATAGTGACTAATAAGTATTAGTCATAAGATAAATAATGATTTGATCGCATTATTTTGTATTACAATTTAAATTATATAAGTATAGTATAGAATGATATCTATATGTAGATAGAATTCGAATACATTTTGATAATAATGACTATATTAAAAATGGCCATGGAAAAAATGTCATTTACAGATATCTCCATTAATGAATATATTTTGTATTCTAATAATATAAAGTATAATAAACTTAAATTATTTAGATATTATTAAATTTATTTAAATGTGCAAATAATTTAATGTTTTATGTTATTATCATATTATCATATTCTCAATTTCATTACATATTAAGTTAAAATGTTATAGTCCCGCGTAGTACCATTTTTGTTTATTAGGGGCTGTGTATACGCAATTTACTTGCGTTTTAGCATTTAGTGATATTTCCATTATAATACATCGAAAAGATTTAAATTAACTTTAAGGAGTAATAAAGCAAAACGTTTTGTACTTTCTATTGTTTTGGTTTTCCAGATCGCATTTCATTATATCTATTTAAATATCTTATAATCAATATAGTTATATAATCTCGTTTAAAAAAGTTAAAATAATTGTACCTTCAAGCTTCAATAATTGTTTTTTGATGTTACAATGCTAACATTTATATGATTAGCTATAAACACTATAAACGAATTTGCATGTACATTGTATTATAATATTAGTAAATAATAACTACATTTTTAAAAACATATGTATGACTTTGGATTATTAATTTTAATGAAAGTTATCATTTAAAAAAATAGATAGATATACTAAATTATTATCCATTAATTATTTGGCTAATTTTTCTCCAGCTCATTTTTGTGTTTGGTTATATTTTCCTCCGATCATTTTTACATAGACATATTTATGTCTCAGCGCTGGTGAGAGATTTTACGGGGTCCGGGGAAAATTTTTTCACGGGTTTTAAACATTTTTTTTTGTGAAGCTAGAAACATTTTTATTTGGACACCTTAATATTTGTATGACATTTTTTATTTTACATAACTTATGTAAAAACATTTTTTTTTTTAAATATTAAGCTACAAATACTATTTTGTTTATATATTTTATTGATACAATTTTTGTATTATTATAAAAAAATGTACAAATTCAATGTTTACACTAAGTGTAAGTATGCAAATTTTAGACAACAATTAAAAAAAAAATGATTAAAGATTTTAATATCAAAATGATTTTTTAGCTTTAGTTATAGCAAAAATCTTTAACCAAAAAATGTTTGTTGATTATTCTTTAGTACAGATATAATATTTTATCGTCAAAGGCCAAAGTGCCAACAATATATTATTGTTTATTATTATCATACTATAATATAGGTATTAAACATAATATTAAATCTAAAGAATTAAATACCATACACATTTTTAAATGACGGACGGCTCTTACCTTTTGCCAGTGTTGTTATGATTAAACATTTTTATGCATAATATGTATTTTTTGTATGGCCATTCTAATATTATTCTCATACTATTATTTGTATTAATATATTTAAAAAAATATTTATGTAGCATTGTACCTAATGTTATAACTTTTAATTGAACTTCATAAAGGTAATTAGGCTGCTCATATGATAATGACACGAAATATATAGCATAGCATACAATGGTTAGTTTTAATAATTGGCTTAAGAATAATTAAAAATATATAAATGTTTAAAAATAACGACATAATATAATGATATTGACTTGAGAATAAAAATTTTATTTTTTTATAATATATGTCTACTTACCATAACACATAAGTATCTAATATTAGTTGTTAAAAATTTATAAATGGTTACATACCTCAAAATAACTATGGTGTACTTAAATTATAATACAGAATTATTTTCATTGCTAAAAAAATGTAAGAATTTGTTTATTTTACATTTAGTATACATTACTGTATTAGAATATAAAATTTGAATTCAATTTATTGTGTGAATTTTTAATTATAAAATGTCTATCAATGAAAATTTTATATTCATAATTCACACGGAATATTTTTATAGAGTTATTATAAATGCCAAGGTTATTAATATTGGTAGTTGATAATTTATTCATAAATATAAACACTTAATTATATTATTATACATACAATTTAAAACATGTTATTCTTAAACGTTTAACTTAAAATAATATTAATTATCTTACTAATTTAAGTTACAAATAATTTTTTTAACTTAAATTATTTGATATGAAAAATGACTATAATTTGTGACATAATAAGTATGATATAATATAGACTATATCATATTATATTAATAATACTTTAAGAGAAAAATTTTATATTTTATAATAATTACTTTTATAACATGGACATATTAAGTACCTATAGAAGATTATTTTTAATTTGTTAAACTTTAAACAAATATTGTATTAAATGCTAATATTATCTGTAGGTATAAGTACTCTAAAAGTATTAAATACTACACTCTAAAATTATTTAAAACACAAATGAATAATTATTAATAACACTTTCAATTTAATATTTATTTTTGTTTCGTATTAATTTTTAATATTGATTTACTAGATTACAGCTGCTTACCGTTTAGGTAAACTGATTTTAATTATTTGAAATTCAATAATATAAAATAATTTTGTACATACAACTAATCATTAAAAATTGATTGTGTTAATTATAAAAATATATTTTTAATGTTTATTACTTTTAATAAGTAGGTATACAATATAGGTATTTAGATAGTGATTAATATCGATTTTCTTAGAACTATAGATCATTATTAAAATTATATTCAATAAAAAAAATAAATCAATTTTATCAATTTTAAATACACATGTATTTAATGGTTTTTAAACAAAAATATTTATTCATTATAATTTTTATATTTTAAATAAAAATAGTACTCATATAAATTTACAATGTTTTTGTTTTTTTTTAATATTTAGGGAACGACTTGGTGGTGTCAAGCCTCCAGTACTGCGGTCCGAAACAGATTTTGATCCGGGATCAAAATATCACGTACCCGCCAACATTCCTTACATTGGGTAAGTACCCATTTGTATATTTTCAATAGGTAGTTATACGAATATATACTTATATGATTAACTGTATTTTATTATAATATGGTAACGGAATTTTGTATTTACGCGGCGTAGTTTCACTAACGTCAACAATACCTGTCGCTCAATACGATAATTTAATAATAATAATAGTAATAATAATAATAATCATAATATAATAATAATGATATAGTGTGTCGCGAATATCAAATAGCTATTTAATAGAACTATACTGTAGTTTTGTCAACAGACGTCTAATACGATTTCATCGGTATGCACTATATACAGATGATGATCGTTATATATTCGTGATAGCCAGTAGGGGGAAACCGCATACAGACAAAACGAACGGTTTCGGTTTCTTCTTCTATAATTCGGTATGTCGTCGTCGTCGTTGTTATTGTCGTTGTATTGTTAGAATATGCGTGTACACGCGATACCGGACGGGAAACGAAAGTAGAATTCATTTTAGTTTTCAAAAATGTTATAATAACCGAAATAATCAGTAATTGCTCTGGCATTTTTCGCGATCCACTATAACTCTAGGTCGGTACTACAAATAAGAAAACACGGATACGCGGGATTGCGAGTGCGGATTGCTAAATAAATAATAGAGCTCATTTTACACGCCGGAACAGACCGACAGACGTTCACATATTTGTCGTGTTGCGTCTACTTACGTCGAATTTTTAAATTACGTTTTTTTTTTCTGTATTCGTATCTTTACGATACGGAATTAGAAACTGGTAGTCCGCCTACACCAAGTCATTCCACGCGTCGATTAATATACATTTCTACTCGTAAACTGAAACTTTAAGAAATTCAAGGTTAGAGTGATATTATGAACCGTAAAACGCATCGATAGTATAATGAAGGTGCACAGGTACAGCCATATAAGTACCGCAAAAATATCTACAAACACGAATTAAATATTATTTTTGTCGTACATTTATTCTAAAGACTATGATCATGAGAAAACCTATAGCAGATATTATAACAATAATGTGTACAAATATTATTTTTATTTGTATATAAAGTATTGTTATTACAATGTTATACAACTCTAAAATATGCTTAATTGTGTCGAGCGCAACAAGCTCGATAAAATGGCAGCAAATGTCACTTACTATGGTATATACATTGGTAAATTGAACAGGGATTATCCGTGTGAAGATCCGTAGTCTTCATTACCACCGTAGGCGTCTGGTGTCCCTTGCTCTTGGCCGTTGCCGAACGAGGTAAATCCGTTATCGTAATTATTTACGAACGCAGTACCATATCCCGTAGTGTCCGACGAGCTTTCGTGATTTAGTTGCCCACCTTGGCGATATGAGTCATGGTGTGTTTGTTGTTGTTGTTGTTGTTGTTGTTGTTGCTGTTGTTGATGGTAGTATTTTGACGGTTCGTTACCGTAACCGTGCTGCGATTGCGTGTGAACAGGTATGTGAACAGGGACTTTTACTTCCACTGGGTACGGAACTGGCACCTTAACTGGTACTTTGACTGGAACTTTGACCGCATACGGCACTGGTCGGTCAACGTGCACGGGGTATGGTTTGGGTATGTGGACCGGATACGGTCTGTCCACAGGTATTTTAACTGGATATGGTACTTTTCTTTCCACCGGATATGGTATCGGCTTCTCTACTGGTATGTGTACGGGAACAGGGCGGTCTATTGGTATTTTTACGGGATACGGAACTGGGTGATCTACACTTATTGGTACTTTTTTCTCGATGTATACCGGATAAGGTTTCGGTACGTGTACTGCCACAGGCTTTTCCACGTGCACTTTTACTGGAAACGGTACGTGTTTCTCCACCGTTACTGGGTATGGTTGTGGCACATGTATCCTGACCGGGTAGGGCACTTGCTTCTCAATATGCACTGGATATGGCCTGTGGACTGGATACGGCACGGGTTTTTCGTACGGTATTCGGACGGGGTAGAGAACTTTTTTTTCCACGTGAACTGGATACGGAACTGGTACTTCTTTTGTCACATACACCGTCTTGACGTGTCCTCCGTACCCGAAACCATGGCCACCTCCTCCATATCCACCACCTCCTCCAAATCCACCTCCTCCAAATCCACCTCCTCCCCCGTGTCCGCCTCCTCCTCCGTGACCACCTCCTCCTCCGTGTCCACCTCCTCCTCCATGTCCACCGCCCCCGAAACTTTCATCGCCACCACCGTAACCACCAATGTTGCTCCTAAAGCCGTCATTGTTGGTTGATTCGTGTGCATCGACATTTCCGCCACCTTCATACCCTTGGAATGTTTGTTGAATATCATGTTGGTCTTCGCCGCCTTGACCTGTATTGAAAAAATGTCCTCTACCAGAAATTTCGTGTTTTCCTTCGTTGTTAAAAAAATTAGCCATCCAACCATGATTGTTAGCATTTTTTCCTCCTATCGAGCTATGATGGTCGTTTGATCCTACTGTATTAGGTCTTTGTATATTGCCTCCGTTATCATGGATGCCCCTTTCGAAATAAAAGTGACTAAAACCGTTACTGCTATGGTTTTCGTTGTTAGCCGATAGCTGTTCAGTATTCTCTTCATTTCCATCTCGACCATGATTATTCCTAAATGGAAACCCCGAATAGCCTGAATTTTCTGGCGATGAGTGTGAATTAGTTCCTCGGCCATATCCAAGTACATTTTCTAAGCCTCGTTTTTCTGGAGGTTTTGATTCTGTAGAGTCTTCTGTGTTGTCGATTTGTTTTCTATTAGATGATTTTGTGCTGTGTTCGGCTAATGCATAAGTCAATAATAACGTTAAAAATAACCATTTTTGTTTCTGTAAAAAAAAAACATTGTTTGATTATTTTTATATTTACAATAATATAATATTTAAATATTAAGTTTTTTATAAACAATTTCTTTATTCTTGTTATTTCATAGAAATATATTATTTACTTGAAAATTATATTCTACAATTTTTACCTTACATTATCCGACATGCTGTAGAGTATACATAGTACACACATTTATATTATATAACAGTGAAGGATTTGAGTGTATTAAAATAAACTAAAATCAAATGTATATCAATAATAATATTAAATAATTTGAATCGTCCATATTTGTTTATAAAACTGTTCACAATTAAAAATACGTTTTGTATAACATCAGAGAATTTAAGATTTAAAATTGTGCTGGATTGTACGTGTGTGTTTTGTAATTTCTAGACAAAATTTATTTTTATTTTTAATCATTTATGAATTCGTTAAAATAGTTAGAATTTCAAATTTCTGTGGACCGAATAGACTATATATTCATGTTAGTTATAGATCCAAGGGAAGATCAACCTTGTAAACACGGCCCCACATATTATCACGTTAATCATATTATGAATTAATGTAGAACATAGTTTTTTTTTTTTTTTTTTTAACATAAAATATTGTATTATTTTCGAGAACATTATTCTTGTTCACATAATATTTATTTAAAACTGAATAAAATAGATTAATATTCCACGTAAAAGGTTTAGAGATATAATGATTTAATTTGAAAATTATAATTATTGATATGAATTATTAAATAAATTGTTTTTATTTTTAATTATTGTCTATTTATAATAGAAACCGTTCTAGAGCTACACTTGTATCTTATCCTTCACGTAAACTACATTTTTGTAAATAAAGATTAATAATAAAATCGTTCGAATTTCGATTTATATGAATTAAAGTTTTAATAAAACATAATTTATTTGCTCTATTATTAAAAATAATTTAAAACAGTTTTTAAAATTTAAATAACTTTAATTATATGAAAAATTGTAAAAATCTATAATTTATTTACCTAAAACATACAAAATATAGAATATATATTAAAATTGTTTAACCTTTAATAATGTTTTAATTTGATTTTTCGGAGGGAGGATTTATAATTATTTAAAAATATCTACTTCCTATTAATAAATACTTATATAAACTATGTAACATATACCTATAAGAGTACATAACTTATAATATATTCTTCATACTTTATCATTTTCAAATACTTAGATTATTTCTGTAGTACCAACTTTATTTTTATATATAATATAAGTACTCTTTTGTACTGTAGATTTTTTAAACAAATGCATTTTTTTTTATATTTTGATGTATATAAATCGTAATTTAAATAAACAGTTTCTGAGTTACTAAATTTAATCTTCAACAATGAAATAAATTTAGTTTTATTAGTGTAATTAAAATATTGATTACTGTAAAAACTTGAGTTGATCTCCAACTATCTACATTATTATATTTTAATTTTTAAGCATAGCATAATTTTTTTTTAAATATTTTGTTTTAGAGTTGTTTATAAATATTTTTCAATTTATGCTGAAAAGAATTTTTAATTATAAAACTAAAATTTAATACAAAATTCTCAACCAATAGTTCTTACCACAATTAAAAATATCTAAAATTCATACTGTTACAACTTTTTTATAAGTATTTTAAGCTAACATTTTTTGAAATTTGACAAAACCATAAAAATAAGTAAATTTGTTGTTGTTAAAAATGAATAGAATTTTTAATTTATACCTAAAACTTAAATATGAATTATCAGATTCTACAATTTTTTTTTTACTGGTAACTAAAAAAAAAAAAATAGTATAACAAATCGTAAACTTTTATGAGTTATATTAATAACAATAATACAGATTCTAACAATTTTATGATATTTTATAGTTAAAAAAATAATCTTGAAATTTGAAAAATTTCACTATTACTTAAATTATGATTGTATATACACAATAATTAAATTAAAAAAGTTATTTTAATAAATCAAAGCTATTCATCAGTATTTGCTATTTTGATTTTTATTTCTTACTTAAACATTTAATAATTTTAAACAATATTCTCAGTTCTTACAGAAATTAAAAAAAAAACCAACTGAAATACATAGCTAAAATTTGTATAAGAGTTTGAAGTTTTTAAAATTATGACTAATTTTGTCTAAACCACGAATACTTCTAAATTATTTTGTAGATAAAAATTTATTAAATTTTAAATTTTAATAAGTAAGACTAGAAAATTGAATTTAAAGTTTTCCATAAATATTACGTATAATTATTTAAAATTATCAGCTAGAATACAAAGGGATACTTTTATTTTTATATGTACATTTAAAAATATTTGAATTAAAATGTTGATAAAATTGTATATTTTAATAAAAAATTACTTTTTTAGTTATTTTGTCGTAATAATTTGATAAAATATTATTTGTAGGAATTAATACTTATTAGCTCGGCAAATATAATTATTAACTATACAATATGATAATGATATCTCCAAAATATTTTGATTAATTTCTAACTATTTTTATAACAAACCGATTCTCAACGTTCTATGGTACGACGTTATTAACTAATAAGTTAATAGATAGCTGATAATATTAGTTTATATGTTTAATAATAATTTAAATTTGTTATTTTTTGATAAAAACGAGAAATCTTTATACATATTAAAAATAAAGTTCAAAACTAGTGCATAAATATTTATAAAATGCCTTTTTATGATTATTGCATATAAGTAATAATAATACTAAAATGTTCTACGATTTTACTTTTTTCCAAAATTTGGTCAACTTGCTGATTTAACTATTTATTTTAAAATATACTTATACATATTGACTTTTAAGCATTTATTTATCCTATTTAATTTAAACTTGTTGTTTGATGATATAAATAACAATAAGCTTAATAAATTTTTAATGTAATTACAATGTTTTTTAATTAATATAATAATTATTATACCTTTATGGTTTTATGTTAATTGTTAGTTAGAAATCTAGTCATATATTTAAAAAAATAATGTACCTACCTTGGTAATATTAGTTTATTCGCCGTTTAAAAAACATAAAAACTTGTATATCTAAGTTTTGCATTTTTCTTTTTTTATTATTAAAATAAATTAATTCAAAAATTTCATATTTTTTTAATGGTTACTTGCATAAATAGTTTAATTTGGTATAACATTTTAATTGTAAATTAAATTATGAACATAATTTATTATACATCAGTATATTTATTTTATTTTTTAAGTTTAGTTTTTTTTTTTTTTTATTACATGATAATTTTGTAACAAATATTCTTAGTAAAATTAATCGTAACTAACAAATGAATTTAAGCATTTGCATTAATTAATTATTTTCATTTTTAAGTATTTAATTATATTAAATGCATTCATATTTGTATAATGAAGTTATAATAATATAACATGTACTTACTTCCATTGAACGATAAAATATTCCCGTTGGTATTATAAAAAATAATAGTATAACTGGTAAAATATTTTATCACAGTATTTTTTTCAAGTTAGATTGTAGAAAAACATTATCAAAGAAACATTTGCAGCTAACGCGAACTGAAACTGCTTCAAAAAAAAAAAAAAATCGACTTTTCACGAACGTCTAATTATGCTTAGTGTACATTCAGACTATGTTATATTTCATACTGTTTTTCTTAATATATCAAAAAAATAATGTTTACAATTTCCCCTCCATATTATGGTAGTAACTCTTAGTCTGTACGTTGATATGCTACAATTTTTTGGTGGTATTGGCTAGTAATCAGAAGACTAGTTTCCTCTCTCTATGCGCCATTTCTTTATTATACACTCCATATTGTGTTTTCTTTTTACATAGCTATCGTCAAAAATGAAGTTAGTGAAATATGAAATAAATACATTGTATAGAGGTACTTAATGCATTTTATTTATTTATAATTTTACAAGTGAATGAATACTTAACTTATAAAATGTGTGGTCAAATTATTCATAACTATATATATATATATATATAAATTTGAAAATAGTTCTATTATTTAGTAGCTTTTTAAAAAAATGAATGTACACATTTTAATTTTAATTAAAATATAGAAAATCTATTTCTTTACAACGTTAGAGTCTTCAGTTTTTGACTCTACCTTATCTTGGGCCTTGATGGATGCACCTCCAATGGCAACTGCTTCTTGACCGGTGGATCCAAAGTTAGTTGACTTGAATAAAGACGATGCATCAGTTGATCCAACAGATAAAGAGCTGAATGGAGCAGGTGTTGATGATTCAAAGAAAGATTGTTGGCCGAAACTGAATGGAGCTGATGTACTACTAAAACCATCTTGGGCGAAGTTTGAGCCGAAGAGTCCAGCGGGGCTGGCAGTCGTGCTGTATGAGGTTATTGGGCTAGATGTAGAGCTGAACAGAGCACTTCCAGAAGCTGGGGTTGAACTGTAGAATGCACTTCCAAAAGCTGGAGCGCTTCCAGATGAAAAACTATATGCAGAAGCACCGTCAAAAGCTGGAGCTAATCCAGATGCGCCGTATGTGACTTTGGTACCGGTCAGAGCTAATTGTTCTGGTGTTTTCAAGTTTTGGTTGTTAAGAATAACGGCATTTGAGGGTGTGTTGTAGTAGACGTTAGGTACACCGTCGTTATATTGTGCGGCAAAAGCTTTGTATCCAGCTTGACCAGCAAAAGCTTGGCTGGATTCGTATCCCAAACCAACGGGAGATTGTTGGTAGTAGTGGACTGTAGCGAAACGTTGAGCTGGGGCTGCAACTGGAACTGGGACCTTGACTTCAACTGGAACTTGAACTGGGTATGGAACCTTCTTTTCTACTGGGTATGGTACTGGTCTGTCCACAGATACTGGAACTTTGACTTCCACCGGAACTGGTACTTTGACTGGGACATCGTACCTGACTGGGTATGGAACCTTCTTTTCAACTGCGTATGGTACCAATTTTTCTACTGGGTATGGCACAGCCTTTTCTACTGGGTAAGGCACTGGTTTTTCAACGGGGTATGGGTATGGCACTGGTTTTTCCACGGGGTATGGCCTGTCAACATTTACTCTTACTGGGTATGGGACGGGTTTTTCAACTGCGTATGGGACGGGTTTCTCAACTGGAACATGAACTGGGTATGGTCTGTCGACTGGAACTTTCACTTCATAAGGTACTGGCTTTTCAACTGGGTATGGCACTCTCTTTTCAATTTCTACTGGGTATGGTCGAGGAACGTGAATTGGACGGTCTACGTTGACTTTAACGGCGTATGGCACATGTTTTTCTACTGTAACTGGGTATGGGTGTGGTACGCGGACCAACACGGGGTATGGAACTCGCTTTTCAACTTGAACGTAGTAAGGAACTGGAACTTCCTTAGTGATGGTAACTTCGTGATGAGGTGCAGGAGCGTTTGCAACGGCTGGTATTTCAACTGCATCGTGGCTAACTGAGTCAGACTTGACGATTGTTCCTTGAGAGTACGACGGGGCGTAAGCTCCTGAGTAGTATGAACCGTATGATGTAGCAAAAGCCGGTGATCTGTTCAGAACGACGGGTTCTGGGGTAGATGACACAACTGGTGAAGCTCCGGACAATAAGACTGAAGCGGGGGTGGAAGAATACGCAAAGCTTGCGTCGGATAGTGCGGCACCAGAGACAGCGGAACCAGACAAGAAAGGTGCTGGGGTAGATGATCCAACTAAAGCTGCCGGAGTAGATGAACTGAAAGATCCATCGAAGAAGGGAGCTGGTGTGGACGATCCAGCGAATGAAGCAGCGTCGAAGGATTGAGCTGCAGCGGCGCCGGAGTAAGCATTTGACGCGAAAGAGTTACCGAATACGAACGGAGCTGGTGTGGAACTGTAAGAAATGGACTTGAAAGGTGCAGCAGTCGTTGAGAACGAGCTGTCGAACGAGAACGGAGCTGGTGTGGAACTGTAAGAAACAGACTTGAAAGGTGCGGCGGTTGTTGAGAACGAGCTGTCAAACAAGAACGGAGCTGGGGTTGATGGGCCAAAGCTCTTGGTTCCGAATGAGAATGAAGATGGGTTAGAGAAAGGGAAATTGGCCTTCTCGGAAGCAGAACCACCAATACTTTTTCCAGTAATGGAGTCTGTTTTCTCGTTACTATTGAGTTTTTCAGCAAATGTGGACACAACTAGGAGTCCTAGGAAAGCTGCTTGAATCTGAAATAATATTATTATTATTTTTATAGGTTAAATCAAAATAAATAATTAATTATCATTATTTAATTGGTAAATCACTGAAAAATAAATTACTTTTAAGAATATTATACGAATTTTATTTAAATATTAATCGGATCAAAATATTTTAATAGTACATACCTATAGTTAGTTATAATTATTATATTTTTAAACTAACTTAGCGCAATGATAGTTGCATAAAATATTATTTTTACCCCTAGTAGTTTATACTTTACAGTACGTTTTCCATTTCTTAATTAATTTAATTTGTTATTAGTTTTTATCCTTTTTATAATATTTCATAGTAATTTAATATATCAAATCGTGTTTTGATATTAAATTCACTAATTATAACTGTAAGAAATATGACATTAATTGTTTATTATACTAAGTAAATTCTTGATAGTTAATAAGCAGTTTATGCTCATGTAATTCAAAAACCTTTTATTAAAAAATCAAAACAAAATATTGTAATAGAATATTATTTCAACAGGTAGAATTTCAACAACATTTTTTCTGAGTATTTAAAAATTAATTAAGTTCTAGGACACAACTTTTCAGATGATTTTACTTTAAATCTAATCTTTTGATAGAAGGAAATTGTACTAAAGTGTAAGAATATATTATTTCATTATAAATTATAATTTAAATGAATTTAAAAGTTTATATTTTAATTTAATTTATAATATTAAATAAATTCATTAAATAACAAACATAAAAATATACTCAATTAACGTTTTTGTTTAAAATAAATCAATAATATGTACAAATATAATTAATATAGCGCTGAGAATACAATTTATTATTATTAGCTGATATTATATAACTTATGATATAATAATATTTTTATTTAATAAAACAAGAAAAAAAAATTTACCAAACTACTTTTTCTAATTACAATTCGTCAATATGGATAATACTAATTTTTATATTATATTGATAAACCAAAAACATGTCTTATAATCAAAATTTGTATATTTGTATACACTATAAAAAGCTAAATTCTAATAGAATATTATTTACAGAAATATAATGTTTATTTGAGATATATTTAGACCTTTTTATATATGAATATATATATATATATATTATATATTTATTTATTTATTTATTTATCAGTTAAATTAATATTTAAAATATTATAATGCTAACAAGTTTCTATTATATAAATAATTATATTACCAATAATGTATACACATGATAATAAATTTATTTTAATTTTAAAATAAATACCTAATTAATTAAATATTTTGCTCAATAATTTAATAAAATTTAAAATAAAAATAAAAATATAAAATTATAGACATTTATATTAAATCTATGTATCTATAAGAATTGGAAATATTTATTAAATTCTAACAATTAATGATTTAGTTTATCAATCACAAAAATTTAATATAAAAATTGAAGATCGTATTTTATATATTGGAAAAATAATAATTTAAAAAAAAATAATTTTATTAAAATAGAAATGTTGGTACTATAAGAATGGAATTATAAGAAATAATAGTATGTATGTTCAATCTCACCATAGCACGTGGAGCCATGCTTGTTGTTGGTTCTCTTCAATCCAGCGACTGATTGACTGGATACTTTGTTGAACATCAGCTTTTACTATATATATCTGCGCTTCTTCTTGGACTGTATCCAGCAAAATTACTGTCGAAAACCAGTAATCCGGGATGGGAGAATTTTTTTCGAACTCTAACGCGGCTTGCTCCTCCCACTAATAAATTGTCGATCTCAGTTAAACTGCTGTTTTATCAGTATTTTTTATTATGATTTTTTTTTATATATATATTTATAAATCTATTTTTTCGCGTTTTGTCGCTCATCTCGTACTGCAAACCGGTTATTTACGCTAAGTCAAGGGTGCACAACTATGGACTCCGAAGGATCGGTGGCCTCGTCGACCTTCGAACACTACATCCATATCCCCTTTCACACACCGGGTACCTTGCAACGTATTCTCATTTAATTCGCACTTTTAACAATATTGTGTTTACTCCCTCATTTTTAAAATATTTTAGAATACGTTCCTACTAAAGGAACATTATGTTTAATTGACTTTAGGTTAAATGTTGAACATTTCTTATGCATTATATAACTACATTTTGTCAGTTAAAATTTTTTTTAAATGTAGTATTTATACGTAAGTTATTTTTTGTCTCTAATTTATATTATTTATTATATTTATTGATTTTTAAATAATGTAAATAAAGTATTTTTCGATATAATAATATTCAGTTATCTTTTAGGTTTCATTTTGTTTTAATATGTAAATAACATATCTGTATGAAAAACATAAATGTTTAGTTTTTTAAACATATTACTGTTTTTTTGGTGTCAGAAATGTTAAATTAAATTTCATATTTCTATTCGTCTTAAATTAATATAAAAGCTATAAATTATTAAATCAACAAAATCCTACATTATTTTTTATAGCATTAATTTTACCAAAATATTTTTCTGGATAGTTTAGATAAGGAATAACTAAGCTTTATTTTCGAAAACCATATGAAAAAATTAAAAGATTTCAATTAATTAAAAACTAATAAACTTATGTCATTTGTTTATTTTAAAATTTATATAAAATTACAACCCTGGTGATAAAACTTTACACGTGCAATAAGCGACTGAGGAATGTACACAATATCCATTTTGGGTAATATTTATATTTTTAAATTATTAATCCTTATTCAGAGGGCTAGATGAGTTTTTTTGTGCAGTTTAAATGCTGCCAGTTAACCATACATTAGAGGTCCCTGGTTTAAACTAACAATTAATTTTTAATGGTATGTGTAATAAATATGAAAACTGAATAATAATGTTCAACATACTCTTTTAATATAGACTTAATTTTACATCAATTTGTATACATGATTATAATTGTTTTTTTGATAATTTGATTTAATGTTTAAAAATTTATGATTTAAACTTTAAAATATTTAAAAACGAAATTTTAATAGTCACAGAGTTAACTTGGCCAAGGCAAAAGTTCATATTACATATTATTTATTTTGATAAGTTGTTATATTATTCCAAACCCACGTCGAAATAGTACGATTAAAATTAAGTGTATAACAAAATTGCATAAAAACCGGTCGAGTTCTGTAGGTGTATTAAATAAATAGTATACCTACTTTATAGATTATAGTTTCATATGCCAACATGTTTTTAAGTTTCCAATATACTGCCTAATTCTAATAATCGAATAATCAATATAACAAATAGTATTAATAATAATCGTATGCGGTTAGGTTATTAGTTTATTAGTATGAAGTATTATACAAAATGCATAAAAATGTTGCTTGTATGTTTAGTTAAAAAGAAAATCAATTAATAATATAACTGCTATTCTTTGATATCCTTATAAATTATCTGTATGTATATGTAATTATGTGTATAATATAAATAATATAAATAATGTAATTGATATATTTTTAGTTTTCAAGAGATATTGAAGAGTAATAATGATTTAAAATAAAGAAAAGTATATTTTCATAAAAAACTTATTATTATTGAGTTATTAAAACTATTAATTAGAGAAATTGTCGATTAATTTTATTTTCCTTCTTCTTAAATCATATAAGATAATAATTAAAGGAAATAATTATCTCTTTAATTTTCCTCAGGTTTGGGTATTTAATAATTACTTTAATGAGCTAGTTTATACCCAATCAAATCATAATAATAAAATGGTTTTTAAAATATATTTTTGGCGGGAAAACAAATTATGATGATAAATAATAATGAAATAATAGATATAGACATATAAATGTAAGTAAATAATATTTTATATTAAAAACCAATAAACTCTGTGAATATATGCTTTATTGTAATTACCTATATAGTTATACCTACTTAAATAATTATGAAAATAATTTAATTAAAAGGATGAGTCAAAGTATTATTTTTTTATATATATATTTAATAATAGAAATTATATTTTTTTGAGTATAAAATTAATGAAATCATAAAACGATTAACGAATGTATTAAAAACGTTTATGATTTATTTATAAAAAGTAATTCTTTACTCTATATTGTTTAGTATTTTTGTAACGTTTTTAACTTTAAATTTTTACAATAACCTATCATGCTTATTTAATTTTTCACAGTTTTAATTTTCTAAAAACAAAAAACAAAATCTGATTTTTATTTCATAATTTATTGCATTATTATAATAATATTTATTATTGACTAAGAAACTGATAACGTCTGTTAGACGCCGAGGGTTATAGGTACATTTGTACTACATGCCTACACTTTGATACTTAAAATACCATTTGATACATTTAAAAAATATAAAAATAAATGTAATTACATATTTGTTTAAATATCAATATATTCTATACAATTCGTGTATTATATTAATTATAATGATGTGAAATAAAATACATAATTTATAGATATAAATAAATTAATTAATAAAATTTGAATACTTTTAGTAAAATTCTTAAACATTTAATTAGTCACATTTTACATTTATTATATAATATTTTTAAGTTAATTATAGTTGATATATTCTTTACAATTTTATGTAAATAAATTAGTATAAAATAATTCACGCAATGTGTGACAATACATTTGAAATATTTACTTAATGTTTAAATCAATGATTACTAGATCAATTACTATTGGTATAAAAATTTATTTTAATTTGTAAGTTAATTTTTCATCAAGTTTACAAATAATTTTCTATTTTTCCTCTTTCATAACCCATGACCCTGTATTGACTTAATTTGTATCATATCCAATTTGTATGTAATAACATATGGTCACAGAATTATTACCATAATATGACAATTATTACTACCTACCACTAATTTTTTTTTTTTAAATTTTGATAGGTTTTTTATTATACATTGTACACATGTTACGAATGATTGTATATATACTTAATGTTCGTATTAAACTTAGAAATTGTAATTTTGAAACCTTTTATTTTTTATTCATTTCATAATTTTGTGTTGAGTTTTAAATTATTATAATAATTTCATAACATACATTCATTGATCATATATTACATAATTTCGATGCAACAATGTCCGACTAATCCAGTCTTTATTATTTATTTGATTACCTATTTTGTAATATATTTACCATAATAATATTTTTTAAAATTAAATTTAAAGTTTTTTTTTTTTTTTTTTTTTTAATAATTCAAAAATATGTTAAATTTATTTTAAGATACAAGGATATTTGCCTAACTAATAATTTCTTATAATTATAAAATAGTTAAATCATACTTAATATAATATAATTAATTAAAATAGTTTATTTGAATTTAAGTTCAAAAATGAATATTTAATTATTATTGTTATGGTATAGTCGAAGGAAGTTGGTGTTTAATCGTTTAAAATTGTTTACATTATATAGGTACACATTTGAACGATTTCTCAGCTATTTCATTTTAACATTCATATTTCTATTATGTTTTCTTCTTCTACAATTTCCTCTGGACCGCGAGGTGTATCAAGAAAAAAACCGAATTTCGCTCTTCAAAACCGGTTTCTCCCTGCTGTGCAATACTCTTTTGTTTGGCAAACGTTTTGCATTTTTATCATATTAAAATAATTAAATACATGAAAACCCGTCCATTTATCGTCAAATAATAAAAACTATTTTAACGTTTGTCATATATTATTATAACTAATCGTACTGAATGTTTTGAAAGACGTCTTGATGACTTATGGCGGATACTCAATTATACGATTTCCATACTTTTTATTATACGTACGTACTATTAAAAATTATTTCTCGCATTTCGGATCGGAAATACTAAAACAATATTTATCATTACTTGGGTCATAACATTATCTACTATGAAGTATTTTTACACTAGGTTATAATAATGGTATATTATAAGTAAATAAGTTATATTATAGTATTATAGTGTTGCACAAGTTTTATCCTTAGATTAGTATATGCTATTATTTTACTCGTAAATAATCAATCATAAAATAAAATATCTCTATGGGCAGTTGTAGAGTATAATATTGTTCAGATGAGTGTCTTTTAATAATAGTAATAAGTATAAAAATTAACTACAAATTACAATTTACAAAATAAAATTATGTATTTGAAATTATTTGTCCATGTTATGTGGTTTTCTTACTATACGTGTCAGTTTATTTTTCGCCTTTAATGTGTTAAAGTAAATTTTAAATATTTTAACATATATGTCAATTAATTATTTGATTGATTTAAATGTCATCATAAATAGTGTGTATTTGTATGTCCGCAGCACTTTTCAGCTGGGAAATTAGAAAGTTTAAGAGGAAAATATTTTATCCCCCTTAAAGTTTACTATTATAAGTATGAATGATAAAAATCATTAATATAATATATTCAAATAAAAATCCCAACAAACTGTTATACTGTTCATAATATTATTATTATAATTCATATAGTTCATATTTATCAATAAAATTTAATATGATACATTGATATTCATTGTTAAAAAATGATTGCTTTAAAGCGTGTTCACTATAGTTAATACGTATACGATTTTTTTTCGAAAAATAAAACTTTTTAATTCAAACGCAAATAAAAGGAATTTAAAAAAAAACACACGTGTTATTATTTTGTCAGAAGATAAAATATAATAAGTATCGAGGTTGTTTGAATAGATT